CCCCCCACAATGTCCATAAAACAACATGCAGTAACGGACTGAGTTGCTCTAGAATATTTTATTGAGTGATCAATAGAGTAAAAAATAATCCGATTGCCGCTTGCGGGTTTGTTATTGTAACAAAACAAAAACGGCTCATCGTAGTGAGACATTTCATAGCACAATACTGTTAATATGCTCTCATTTGAGGATGAAAGCAATTTCCAGTCAATATTCGAGCTAACCTGATAATTCATATTTAATGATTCTTATCGACGTTAAAATCCTCTTATGCGGCTTATGAAATCTCCAAGGGTTAATAATTGTTCTGAGGTATTCAAATTTTAACTGGCTAGCCCTGTAAACCCTGTGAAACCTAATTGGTTCAAAAACACATCCTTTTATATCGCTTCATCCGTTTATTTATATATTTAGACATATTTTGTATAAATGTATATTTTTATATTTATTTTTTAAACATTTAGCTTTAATTGCAATATATTTCTATGTTTCTGTCTGAGTGTCAATGATCTAACCCGGTAATCGCCGCTTGTCCGTTCCCGCCATAGATTACTTTCAGTGATTGCACGGCAATAATGTAGCAAGTCGCAAACATGTGAAATTAAATCCGTTGTATTACCTATGCTCCATTTACCAGGGCAAGAAGCACTATTCCACGCAAATACCTGAAAAAGTCGCCGGAGAAGAAAAAAAAACACTGTTCTATATATTGAAACGATTTCTCAAGGTAGATAACCTCAGATATATTAAATGCTAATTAGCGAGTAGATTTTCTTCTTATGTGAGAATACGAAAAATTAACATGGCGTCGGAAGCCATCAAACGATAAATCATTAACAGAAAAGAAAAATCAATGTATAATAGAAGCAAACCTCATTTCCATAATTCGGACAAAATGTACGTACTAACCTTAGTCTAGTCTGGTACAAGGCCGCAATAAGAAAGGAAACTAAGAGGAAGTCGAATTTATGAGACTGAGTTTGCTAAGCATGCCTACGAGCGGCAGCCCTTTAAGAATTATGTTCTTATTTCGCAGGCAACAGTCAACATAAAAGGCCTTACAAATCAAATACAATGCGAAGAAAAATCAGTTTTCTTTCCAACTTTACGACCACGGCGAACAGAATCAATAAAAATAGATGATGAGCATCGTCTCTTTTGTGCAATTAAGTCTATTGAAATTAACAGTGGGCACTAGAGATTCGACAATTATTCAACATATAAAAACACTTTTATTACATTATGGGCCATAAAAAGGCTTTTTTAGAAAAAAAAAAAATGGGAGGGGGGTGAAAATGGTTATATTATAACCAAAAATACATACCTTGTTATCAGAAAAGACAACCGGTTCAATTCTCTGTAGCGCCCCACTTCCACCCCCACAAAAAAAAGAAAAAATACACACGCATCCCGAAGTTGAAGCATTAGGTCAAATCAGAAGTAATTTCCATTTGGGGAAACCAATTGTGATGAGGGATCTATCATCCTAAACAACCGTTCTTTAAATATAACAGGCGATGAAAAGTGGGTTGCATAAGACAATGTGAAACGCGAAGAGCAGTGAAGTGACAAGGACAAATTTCTATAACCGACCCCAAAAGCTGACTTAAAATGCAAGAAAACACTAAATGCGCATTTTTCTTACATCCAGCAGCTGCAACGTGTCCATAGATATCCGGTCGAAAAGCGTGCAGCACGCCTAGACACCATGTATTTACGCATCCGCGTGTCTACATATGAAGGATGTTATTTATGACATTTTAATTGCACGAACATTTGAAGAGACGAATAATAATAATAATAATAATAATAATAATAATAATAATAATAAAGGTTGTACGGTGTTAGCACCCACTGAATAGAAAACTTGGCATGTCATAGTGGGACAATATCTGCACTTGAAAATATGCAACTTTTACGGAAAGGTAACCGCAAGAAACTGGTATGAACATCACCCAGACCCGGTTACAGATGTACAGCCTGTAACAATTTTATGGAAAGTTACAGTACTACATACAGACAGAATACTCAAAACTAATCGTCCAGACATCGTGATCAAAGGCCATAAAAACAGAAGCTGTTTTCTTATTGACATGGCAGTCCCTGCAGATTGTAATGTATCTTAGAAGACATTAAAAAAAAAAAAAAAAAAAACTACAGGGATTGTGGAAATCTCACATATGACACCTGAGGACATTAATAATTCCAGTTGTAGCTGAAGCACTCGGATTTATTGGAAAAGGTTCCGATAAACTAATTGATGGGATTCCTTGTAGCCTATGCCTTAAAGAAATACAAAAAAAAAAAAAAAATTGTACTCACAAGTACAGATCACAGCTTACGAAGAGCTTTATCTCTAAAATGTGTGTGGTTTTAGGTTGTCTTTTTTTGTGTAGAAAATGTCATGATGCCATTGCTGACCTTAGTTCTCTTGTTGGGACCCGGAAGGAAATGAGTATACAACAGAATCCATAGACAGCAACAACAATAATAATAAAGTTTCTCTTTTGATTTAACGATATAAATATTAAAATTCCACATAAAGTAAAGAGATGCTCATTTTTTTATATATTAAATAATCGCTGATATGTGTCAGGAGTATACACATTTGTACGCAAATACACAAATGCTGACAGATCGTCTTCGACGGCGGACATGGCGCCGATGAAAAAAAAAAGTAATGAAAATAAAAAAAATACCCAAACAAGGATAAGATGCAGGCTTGCAGATTTGGCAACGTTGAACGATTGCGTTAGTCGATTTTCGTCGACATCGGAGGAAGTGTGAATCAGATGCGGGGAAAAAAATAAGAAAAAAAGCAAACTAAACAACAACGATCAGAGATTTTATAAAATGGTTGTCATTTGATCACAGAATCAAAGAAACGCTGATATGAGACAGCTTAAAAGAGATTTACGTCATAATTTTCCTCTGTTGTTGTGCCTGTCATTTGAAAAGAAAATATATAAAAAAAATAATAATAATAATGAGTCCATAAAGAACATGAAAAAGATTCCCGCGTTTCATAGTACTAAGGAAGAGTGCTTAGGGGAAAGGTATCGTAATCTACTGTGGTCTCGAGTCAAAGTTCACCTTGTTAAAACAAACAAACAAAAAACAAAGAACTTAAATTTTGTTTTTTTATGAAATAAAATAATTTCTCTTAATGCCAGAAACGTTTAGCTTATTTTGTATATAAAAAGACAAAACCAAAGTGTATAAAGAACGTACCAATGATGAAAACCGTCGGGTTCAGGAGTGCGTGGGGAGGGGGGTGACATCGAATAGAATAAAACAAAATCTTTGTTCAACTGGTTCTAAATGCAGTGATTACAAACATGAATTTAGAATGAAATATTAAATCATTCGAGTCAATGAAATTATTGATCTCTTTATTTTCATTTTAATAATTTCACTCCGAATCAAGGCGATAATGCCACTAAGACACAGTGGGTTACTGATCTTGAAAGAAAATGAAAAGACTTTAGAAGGAACTAGAAACACAATCCTAAACATGAAACAAGGTATAAACATTTAGTCATGTTTAAAAGAGGGAAAGGAGTGTATGTAAACCGGACGGTAGATGAATCTATCTACTCTTATTAAATTAAAAAAAAAAAAAGAAGAAAAAATCAAGCCGTGATATTAATGGTTACAGAAACAGCTATTCAATAGGTTCGTGACATTTGATTATTATCGCGTCTGAGTATACCATGGACTGAATATGTAACTACCAACTGTGGAACAGGACCAGACAGACTCCAATCGAGATTGACATCAAGAAACGGAAATGGGGATGGATCGGCAACTCCGCAAGCCTTTTTCTAGTGTCGCCAGACAGACCCTTGACTGGAATCCACAAGGGAAGCGAAAAGTGGGTCGACCAGAACAGACTTGGCGCAGAAGTATTGACGCAGAGGTGAAGGCAGCCGGCACGACATGGGCCGAGCTGGAGAGGGTCGCCCGTAACCGCATTCATTGGAGAGGTTTTGTTGCGGCCCTATGTCCCCCAAGGAATCAAGAGACATAGAAGAAGAAGGACATGTAACTAACGAAGAAGTTTAAGGAAGATAGAAACGACAACATAGAATTAGAAAAAAGACATTTGAAAATTTCTATGAACAAAGGGAAGCAGCGATGACATACCGGACAAGCTTGTGTAAAAATGGATGTCAGAAAAGAGACTGGGAGACATCGTGAAAAGTGACATTACTAAAGAGAGGAAAGTGTGGAGAACCATGATCGCTGACGTCCTGAATAGACACGGCACATTGAAGTCTTTTTTTTTTTTTCTTTTTTTTAATACATTAATTAACATATTTTCCAGTCAACGGCTAGGGGAAATTGTTGATTGTCACTATCGTTCTAAATGTACCGAATGACATGTAGTCTGAGTAGAAGAGAAAAAGATGGAGGTGGGAGGAAATAATGCAGTAATAGGTAGAGGAGGATGAGGGGAGGAATGAACTGGTCGGTGACTTTCTGAAGTTGTTTTATGGCCGACAAGTGTTGAAGCGGAGGTCCCCCGTACAGAGAAACGATAGATGAAAAGCTGTTAGACTTTTTTTTTATTTGTTTTTCCCAAAAAAAAAAAAAAAAAAAAAAAAAAAGGTGCAAATCGTTTTTATAATAAAAAAAGGAAGAAAAAAAAAATCTAATTGAATTAGACACTGACAAAATTAAGTAATCTTTTACCTGGTATTTAAAATAAAAAAATATGCAGTTTATTATTTGATTTGTTTGTTTTCTTTCTTTCTTTTTTTTTTTAACCGTTTATCAACTAATTGCAGATTGTTTAAAGACAGAATTATATTTTTAAATTGTAGGTTTTCATTTATTTTTTTTAAATGACGTACTGATACGAAGTCTTACTAATTAACCCATATCAGGGGGATAAGAGGTGGAGACATACCTTTCCAAAGGGTATTTGCGCGTAAGTGAATATAATTAAAGTGACTGGAAATGAAACTCGGGCCAGAATCCATTAGACATTCATCCTTCAATCCCCGGAATTTTCAAACAGTCACTCATCTAGGTACTGACCATGTTCGACGTAGCTTAACTTCGGCGATCGTAGGAGAACAGGTGTTTCAACGTGATGTGGCCGTAAGCCAGATTATTATTTGAAATCTAATGAAATCATTGCCTTCCATATTGTGAATAGTTCAATGGGTAACCGTCAAAAATCAACGGTGATAAAAAAAAAAACCCAGTAACCTGGAGGGATGATAAAGGATTCTAAATAAATCCTAAAATAACACCCTGGGAACTGGAAAGGTCATCGGGAAAGCTCCTACTATAATATAATTACGAAAAGGACTAAGTCCAACAATTATTTTAATATATTTTATTGTTATAGGTTATTTATATACACAAATATTTAAGTAAATACTCTTTTTATAATAAACAGTATAACATTTAACGGCCTGAACGTTCGAGAAATTTCATAGGAAATATGCGTCCTACATCCTATGTAGTTACGAAGGCCACGTCTGGGTAGGAAGATATGAACGTGAATCTAGTGAACAGTGTTGGCTTGTGAATTTAATGGTATAGTAATTCTGATTTCAATCCCTGTATCGGGTAGTACTATCCTAGATTTAGTGAAAACAGGTGGGCAATAAATAAGCAGTGCTTTATATATATATATATATATATATATATATATATATATATATATATATATATATATCCTATATGATAATGCTCAATATTAGAGATTGGGTGTGTGTAAATATAAAAGTGAACATAGAGACAGTCTGTTTCATGCTAGACGATTGCATCTAGCATGAAACAGACTGTCGCCTCTATGTTGACTTCTATGTTCATTTTATATATATATATATATATATATATATATATATATATATAGTAGATGTAACAGCAAAACTGAAAAATGTCCAAAGCATAACTATCCATCCCATAAAATGTTTAAGATCCAAAAAACCACTAAACTAACTGAGTTTCTTTTCCCGCGTTTTCAGATATGTTTAACCATCTTGATGCCATTTTTCGTAAGAATCACTGAAAAACTGATTAAGTTATTCAGCTAAAAAGAAACCGGGTTAAAACTCTTTTGCGTCAGACCTACTTCCTTCCGAAATGAGCAATGGTGAGACGAAGAAAATAATTCAGGACTTCAGTAATGGTAGCAACATTCATACTCTGGCTTCCATCTTCAAAGTTCATCCAAGAACCATCAAGAGAATGGTGAATAAGTTTTTAAAAAGGAGGACAGTAGAAAGGAAAACTGGATCAGCAGGTCACAACAAAAAGAGTGATGATCATTTCAACTTAGAGATAAGAGATCAATTAGAAAGAATCCAACTTAATCCATAAGACATTTGGCACGTGAGAGAGGAGTTTCAGTTATGACAGTCCAACCAGCAGTGAAAAAAAGACTTGAAAATGAAATCGTACGTGAAACGTGTGAAGTACCTTGTTACTCCAGGACAGAAAGTTAGAAGGTTAGAAAGAGCGAAGTTCATCTTGAATAAGTTGGAAAATGATCCTGGAATAATAATATATATATATATTTGAAATTTATTTCAATCCTTCATGAGCTTCCAATCCTTAGCTATGATTAATTAATTGGAGAGTAATTATATATTCTTATTGCTCAAAGTAAAGCCCATTAATATTTATAAAAACCTCGGAGATCCAGTAAGATATCCTTAATCATTTCTAAGATGAAACGGTTCAGAGGTTAATCTAACAAGTGGATAATTTTGATGTTACACGATTTGGACAATTTTGCTGTTACACACTTAGTGTTCAAAAACACTAACACCATTTAAAATGTGAATACCCGAATACCTAAATATCCTACATAAACGAAATTAAATAGGCTTCATATTGAACAATAAATGATTTACTTATCAAAATTCGAACAAGATATTCAAAGGGGTATAGAATTTATAACCGACTTCACAAAGCTTCATCTGATGGCCTAGGGATGACAGTTTCTGACGGATACCATATATAACTGAAACCCAATCATAAATGGTTTCTTTCAACTATGATAAAGTAGGGTCTATAAAACTTAAGATAAATGAAAAATAACAAATACAACAGAAGCAACTCTAGTTTCACTCTCAAAAATGGAAGATCGTCAGGCCAGTTTCAATCTTTATTTTGTATCGTTCGTTGTTTACACTTCAAATATGGGCAACTTGCGCGAGCGCACACATACATGTGTTTCGTGGGTTGAGCACTTTTGGAAGAATTTGTTGTCTGCTGCTATTGATTGATGCTAAGCTCTTCGCTATGAATTGAACCCTCTGGTAGCCGGTAATGCATATATCTTGTATATAATGCGTTAAAAATTCGTCATTAGTCCAACTGCTGCGAAACACGCTGTAGCATGTCTTGCGTAACATTATCCGGCGCTTCTCTGCTTAAGTTTCTCCAGGCTTGTAGGAAGAGGGGCGATATAGACCTGTTCTTTCAAATAGACCCATAGAAAAAAAAATCTCAAGTCAGATGAACGTGGTGGCCATTTCAAAATCACATTGTCATTATCACTGGCACACCCAATCCATCTTCCTGTTAGATTATCGTGGAGATAAGTCAGCACTGTCACCTTATTTTTAACACATTTTGTCAAAATTTGAGATCATTTCAGCCAGAATTGGCTACGCTATTAGACAACAAAATAATGTCAATTTTGGAGGGATACCATATATAACTGAAACCCAATCGTAAATAGTTTCTTTCAACTATGATATAGCAGGGTCTATAAAACTTAAGATAAATGAAAAATGACAAATACAACGGAAGCAACTTTAGTTTCACTTTCAAAAATGGAAGATCGTCAGGCCAGTTTCAATCTGATTTGATTGTTCTCATTCAATTGTCCATGTCTAAGAATATTTAATATTTTTATCCGAGTTTGATTCTGTGCTACCTCTCCCAGGAATTGATCTCATTCACTTCTTCTAAGTGCAGTGTCCCTTCAGAACGTTGGCGGTCATCGCTCTCCACAATTTCCTCTCCATTATAACTCTTTTGTCTTTTTTGTTATCTCTTCTGTTCTGTCATAATGCAAGCCAAATTAACAAACCAACGCTCCTCAAGACTATTGCCCTGAGGGGAATTTCCTGAAGCTTATCGGCATTGACAGACACCCGAAGAAGCCTGGTGGGTGCAACGATAACAACAAGAAAGATGAAGATATTAATCCGAAAGTAAATAATGTAAAATCAGACAAAGATTAAACTTCGTAAATATCAATGAACAAAGCTGAAATCCGTTAAATCCATTTGTAAAACGAGCATTTATCAAAATCACGTTGCTAGAAGACGATTGTAATGTCGCATCTTATCAGGATCGAACAATGGCTAATCTTCCACATTTACACAGTCCCGGATTATTAATCTTAAAATGGTTAAAGACAGTCGAGATTAATATGGCCTGCGAAACAAGATCGTGGACCATCGTTTTTATATTGCAAGAACAATAGAATTCGTTGAAATATAACAGCGAGTAAGACAAGGAAACGACGTTAAAAATGTCCGAATTCGGAAATGTAGACCATCGCTTTTCCTCTCTTGTGACCTACTCAGTTACTTGCTGTTTGAAATGACCTCAGTTAGGGTTACGGAGAAGAGTGAAATTGTCCGACGAAAATTCCTAAGCTTACTTCCATGAAAGAGAGCGAGCGGTTTTTTTTTTTATTTTTTTAAGAAGAAACACTGGAAAAAAGAAAGTAATAGACAATAGGCAGATTTCTTGAACAACGAAAGGGGAAGAGAGGAAAACTATTTTGACTGGTGTCTAAAATTAGAAGAAAAACCTCTGAGACAGGAAAATTATCGAGTTATAGAAAGTAATTAGCGAAGAACGGGTGTGTGTGTGTGTCCGGGTGGGGGGAGAATATGGAATGAGAAATAGAAAGAAATTAGATCTTTAAGAAGTTGTAAAAAATGTCAAGCTTTCACGTTTGCAATTTTAAAGAAGTGAGCGTAAAAAGTACATGTATGAAAAGAAGACGGGAAAAGAAGAAAACGACAGAGGAAGGAGAGAGGAGGAGAAGACGACGATGGGGAAAGACAGAAGAAGACAATGGAGAAAGAGAAAAGAAGAAGTAGAAGAAGACGACAGTGGGGGAAAAGAGAGAAGTAGAAGAAAACGACGGGGGAAGGAGAAAAAAGATAAAGAGAATACTTTTTAACGGAATAATACAAAAATAAAAAATAACATACGTCAAAAGAAAAAGAAAAAAAATGAAATGAAACAAAAAAAAAAAAAATATGTAAAAGAAAAATCACCGATGGCAACAACAAAAAAAAAAAGCCCAAAATATGTAAAATGCAAAAAAAAATTTAACTGAAAAAATTTAATCAAATAAATAAATAAAACGGAATAAAAACACGCAGGAAAAAAAAATCAGTAAAAATAAATGAAAGAAAAGGAAAAAAAAAAAAAAAAAAGAAGCAATAAACACGCATTAAAGAAAGAAAAAAAATGCAAGATAAAAAAAGAACGACGAAAAAAAATACAAAACGAAACAAAACAAAACAAAAAAACAGAAAATAAGAGACAGACAAAGGAGAGGGAAAAAATACACATCAAAAGGAGAAAGAAAAAAAAAAGTGTCAGAAATGCGGTTAACTGTTTTGTGAAAGAAAGACATTCCCCAGTGTTTGTAAGTAAGTAGCCTAGTGCGAGCAATGAAGCTGACGAGAGGAAAAAAGAAAAAAACAAAAAAAACAAAAACGGCTGGTATCGGTTATTCTGTATGACTAAGGCTCACTTGGTGCTGTTGAAGACGTTGATGATGTAATGGGTGAGGGAGTGTGCATTTAGCAATGGTGGCAAATAGCGAAGATGATGGAGGAGGCGGGGGCTAAGATGAAAATACGGCAGAGAAGAAAGAAATGTGAAAGGGAGAAATCCTCAATGCTTGGCTCGCATTTCCATACCTCCAACCAATTTTCTTCACGTTCTACATTCTTCAAATATGTATTTCTCAATCCATAAACATCACCTTTCATTTTTTTTTTCGCTTCGTTTTTTTTATCCTTTGATATATTTAACTGAGTAATTGTTTTCGTGTTTATCAATTTTATATTACGTATTATATATATATATATATATATATATATATAT